TGTGTGTTTACTTGTATGAGTGTAATCCCCACAGATTTAGTTCTGGTGCCGCCATCTATGTGTCAGGCCGGGGACTTTTCAATTGACCCTAGTATATCACAGTGTTACAAGCGGTAAAATGAGGTAAATAAAGAGAGAAAGAGACTGATATTAGCCGAATGATTGTCTCCCTCTTTCTGGGGAATGGTCAATTTCATGTCCATTCTCTATGTCTATGTGCTAGCTTTAGAGTGTCTTACATCTGTCAAAGATTTAACGTTTTATTAATGACATGAAACGATCAGGCAATTTGGTATTTGTATTTTTTATAAGTATATAGGTTTTTTGGCCGGAGTCCATAGTTGAAGTATAATTAGTGCTGAAGGGCCGTGGTCTAAATGAACTAATAGATCCAAACGTTTCGTCGGCGATTGCGGCTGACATCTTAATATTTTCTAGAATGTTTAGTTTTTTGCTTTTTGTAGTTTAATGTAATTTTGTCATTGTTTCTTCTATGGATCCTGGTTGTGTAGACTTTTCAATCACTCTTTCCTTATGTATACTCTATATCTATATCTTTGAACAAATTGGAAACGTGAAACAATTCCTTAAAGAATAAGTGACAAAGACATCAAAAAGGCTGCTTGACTAACTTCAATGTTTTTTTTTTTAAATTCAGGTTCTTCTCACTGTGCCGATCTCAGATCTGCATCAAATAGTGATTCCGAACAAATCAGACAAACAAAACTCACAATTCGGACAACAATAGCGAGATGGTTGGACGAAATAAAATATGGTACATCATCTGGAAATAGTTTACGAACAAGTGTAATAACTATTATGGCTACTGTAATTTGTTTCATTTATAATTTCTAATTTCTTACATTCATGTAAAATGAAGTGGATTTGCCTAGTACATGCAATTGTGCAGTCAATAAAATTAATTGAAATTAAGGAAGTTTTAAACTCTTTTGTAGTATTTTCTAAAACGCACTGTTAAGATAGCAGGTAAGAGTTGGTCAGTGTTCTGTCGGAGCTGCCTGCGACGCTCTGATGAGATCCAAAAAGAAATCGCGATCCGCGTCTGACAGTTTCGACAGAAGACAGACCACTTCGAATTATTTCATTCGATTAAGCTAACGTGCCTATCACGTTGAGGTTGGCTACGCCGGGATTCGTTTTCAGCAAGTAGATATCCACACAAGTGGACCTTGTTGGAGCATACGTAATCCTAAAATGTAGCATCGTGCTACAGATGGCGTTTACTGCGCCATTTGTAGTATTTTCTAAAACGCACTGTTAAGACAGCAGGTAAAAGTTGGTCTGTGTTCTGTCGGAGCTGCCTGCGACGCGCTGATGAGATCCAAAAAGATCGAAATCGCGATCCGCGTCTGGCAGTTTCGACAGAAGACAGACCACTTCGAATTATTTTATTCGATTAAGCTAACGTGCCTATCACGTTGAGGTTGGCTACGCCGGGATTCGTTTTCAACAAGTAGATATCGACACAAGTGGACCTTGTTGGAGCATACATAATCCTAAAATGTAGCATCGTGCTGCAGATGGCGTTTACTGCGCCATTTGTAGTATTTTCTTTTGTAGATGTTTCAGTCAATTTAAAAGTTCCCCTTCTCCCTTATAAACACTGACATACAAAGATGTAAAGAACATCCAAAAAGTATGTGTGGAATTGATTAATGTGTATACAAGAAATAAACGTCGCTTGATTCATATTACCTACGGAGTTGCGGATAACAAAATTTTTGGAAATAAAACACTAGTAGAAGTTTTTATTTAAGCATTTAATATTTCACAATTTTACCTGTGGTGCACTACTCTTATGGTTTCGTACTTTAGAATAATCCGCAAGCTCCTGTAGGATCACATTGTTGCTCTTCATTCCTTTTCCTCACACTTTATCCAAGAAATTTTCATTTTTAACTTAATGCGATAAAAGCGTTAGATCCTGGAAATCCTTTGCAGTACTTTAATCGAGTTTTATGAGTATTACCCATTTCAATTTAAAAAATGTCAATATTTCAATATGAAGGAACTGGCCCCTTTTTTTAAATATTTAAATATAAATGGCCAGTAGTTAAATCCAAGGAGTCAGTATTTTAAACCAAGTGGTGCAAAAGTTAGCCTATCTCGTCTAACTAAAATCCTTGTTAGTCCGTCGCACTCTTATTCTAATTTTCGTATGTGGCGAAAGAACTCTTATTGTTTTTTTTGTGTGTAAATATTTTTTCTAATTTTATTTCGTTTCAAATATTATTTCATTTCAAATATTATTTCAATTCATTTCAAATTATTATCTTCTACATATCTTGGTTTCTTTTCAATCTAAACTCTACTGTTCTCTCAATCACTTTTACCCATACTCCCAAACTATACATCTGGTTTTACCCTTGATTATTTTCTCTTGAATTCTGTACTGTTTAATTCTACTTAATTCTATAAACCAGTTTCTTCACCCTCTCTCTCACCACTTTTTCTTCTAGAACGTTCTATCAAATCTACTAACAACCCTATCCAATGCATAGGAATTAGAGGGAGACCACTAGAGCTTATGAAAAGCTATCTTAGTGGTAGAAAACAGAGGGTATTCGTCAACAATACTAAGAGTGATAACGAACTAATCGGAGTTCCTCAAGGTACGATTCTCGGGCCGTTACTCTTTATTATCTATAAATGATATTTTAAAGCTATTCAACAGTGGCTCGGTAGTTTCGTACGCAGACGACACTGCTGTTGTATCAGATGAAAATACACGGCACCTTACACAAGAGAATATGAATAACAAATTGCTTCTTATTGCAAATCGGTTAGCTACAAATAAACTTTCACTTAATATAAATAAAACTGTCCATATGACCTTTGGTATTTATAAGTATAGAGTTCCAGATGTAATTAATATGAAGATTTTTGATACGATTATACAAAGAGCTGAATATTGTAAATATTTAGGAATCTACTTTGATTTTAACATCAAGTAGGAGAAGCATATAAATTACCTATTGAGTAAAACTAAATATCTAGTATTTATTTTTCGTAAACTTAGCAATACAATGAAAGCTGCGACTATGAAAATGATCTATTATGCTTTCTTCCAATCAGTAGCCAGCTATGGAATTATTGCCTAGGGTGGTACTTATAACAATATTATAAAATACAAATAATATTAAAAAAAATATCATACATACATAGTTTTTTTTACCTGTATAGTAACGGTTCAACTATCAGAACGTTCGAACCCGACGATTTCGTAGTCAAACCTACCAACCGAACTTGATCGTTCGACATACAAAGTGTCGCCCGACCGAATCACCGCGCACCGTCGAACCATTGTACCGAGCATAATTCAACCGTTGCATCGCGCTTCGTCGAACCGTTGTACCGCGAATAGTTCAACCGTTGCACCGCGCATCGTCGAACCGTTGTACCGCGAATAGATCAACCGTTGCACCGCGCATCGTCGAACCGTTGTACCGCGAATAGTTCAACCGTTGCACCGCGCATCGTCGAACTGTTGTACCGCGAATAGTTCAACCGACGCACCGCGCATCGTTGAACCGTTGCACCGCGCATCGTTCAACCGTTGCACCGCGCATCGTCGAACCGTTGTACCGCGAATAGTTCAACCGCTGCACCGCGCATTGTCGAACCGTTGCACCGCGAATTGTTCAACCGTTGCACCGCGCATCGTTGAACCGTTGCACCGCGCATCGTCCAACCGTTGCACCGCGCATCCTCGAACCGTTGTACCGCGAATAGTTTAACCGCTGGACCGCGCATCGTTGAACCGTTGCACCGCAAATAGTTCAACCTACATCAAAACGGAGATCATTCGAGTCTCCCACCACTTACCCATTTTCCCACCTTGTGAGTGATTACAGCTTGTGAATAAAATTGCAAGTTGTGCAGCAGACTCTGTTGCCAACTTTTAAACAAGATTTATCCGAATAGTTTCGTTTGTATTGTTATTTCATGGTCATTTCAAAATAATATTACCCTAGAAATACCATGGGTGGGTGGTGGTTCGGGTGAGAAAGATGAGACGGACGAAATGAAGACAGAAGAATTTGGACCAAGGCAAACGGACCCGGAATCGAACCGGCGTCCTTCCGAATGCTAAGTAATGGTCTAAACCCCTAGGCCATGCCGCTCGGTAGCAGCTTCAATTAATGAGTGCACTATACACTGTTTCTCCTAACTTCTTAATATCTTTTGTTAAATATAGTTTATGTAACTTAACTGCTCCAGTTAAGATGGTAATATTCAGAGAGTCTCAAAATGTTTTCTACCTATGGACTGACCGGTGTAAACTGAGGTTTAATGTTGTATAATGTTTCATGTAAAAAAAATAATACCTAGTCTGGTTATCGATATAACCTTGTCTATAACTTGTAAATAATGTAAATCACTAATTATTATTACATTTCTTACTTTAAATAAATTAATTGATTGTTGTAATTCACTATCAATTTGTTATCAATATCGCTGATATGTATTATCATATTTATGGTATAGATGCGAAACTTCAAAGATACCAAAAGTAATCCCTGAAATAATTACCCCCACCACTCGTTATTAGAAACATAATCGTCAAATTGTCTATCGATGTATCTACTACAATTTATTAATAAATAATTAATCTTATTGGTAATTTTAGTTCACATTCCATTTCGTTTGCACTTTTCATCACCTATTCAAAAGTGTTCACAACTTTTACTGAGATGGCGACTTTACCTATTCTATTTCTAATATTGTGTGTTTTTGCTTCGGAGGTAAATAATAAATAAAGTAAACTTAATTCTCATATAACGTATCTAAATAAAAATTAAATTTAACATTATTAGGCAAAAATATTCCGTAACTTGCATGCACCACCCCCAATAGATGTTCCCGTCGGCAGAGCTACTGTTCCCGTGTGGGCTAACATAACCCAAAGGGTTGATCATTTCAATCCTGTGGATAAAAGAACATGGAAAATGGTAAGTGCAAAAATAGTTTCAAATTGAATATTCCGTTTATTTTTTAATTATATTCAACATAACAAGCTGAATGGTGTCGTGGGATACCTGGTAGAATAGGAACGAGGTCTCTAATTATTTTTGACAAATATTCGTCGAAGGGTTCGCGGAATGGGGGTAAGAAGTAGAAATAAAAGTACGAATTTATTTTTCCTTTTCAATATATTTATCTACTACCCTTACACATTTTTCCCATCTGTCAACTAACTTACGTATAGGTACCTTCGAAAAAAACTGTTTTGTATTTGTCTGAAAAATACGCTGAAACTGCATCCTTCACGTCGTCATTGCTTAAAAATTTCTTCTCACGTAAACTTTTTTCAAGTTTGGGAATAGATAATAATCGCTGGGAGATAGGCCAGGACTGTAGGGTGGGTGTGCAAAAATTTTAAAGCGCACCTTCTGCAAGGCAGCCATCGCAACACGGCTGTTGTGAACAGGCGCGTTGTCGTGCAGAAGGAGGACACCTTTGGTGAATCTTCCTTTTCTTTTCTTTTTTTTACTGCTTCCTTTAACCGCTGTAGGATTAAAGCATTGTATTCACCGGTTATAGAGACACCTTTATCCTTATAATCGATCAGCAGGATGCTTTCTGTTTTTCGTCTAAACTTAACCACACCTCTTCATCCTTTTAGGAATAAAATTTAAAACAATCTCTCCTCCTAAAGTAGCTACCTAGTCAACGAATAGGTACCTATATTCGATTTATATGAATGAAAATTCAACGAAAATATTTTTAATAGTTCAAGAACTGAATATTAGTTCAATTTCTTTTTCCGTAGAGATATTTATATAACGACGAGTGCTTTGTGAGTGGTGGTCCAATATTCATATATCTTGGGGGTGAATGGACCATAACAACGGGAAACCTTATGACCGGGCCAATATACGACATTGCATGTGAAAATGGCGGATATATGTTTTATACTGAACACAGATATTATGGTGAAAGTCAGCCGACTAGGTATGTTGCGTGGTTGCTTATAAAAACTAAATACACTATAATGCTCCTGATTGTTGAGGCACTTAATTTATGAAATTTTAAATACCTAATGAAATTANACGCAGCACTACCACTGAAGATGTCAGCCGCAGTAGCTGACGAAACGTCTGGACGGAATCGTTCACTTAGACCACGGCCCTATAGCCCGAATCTGCATTCTACTATGGATTCCGGCCGTGAAAGCCTTTGTTCTTATTAATAGACTTCAGATAATAATTACTCAGATTCGATTCCTTGTTCAACTGTTTTTTTATTCGATTTGATATCTCCACCCACTAATGCCTTCACTAACATTTAAAAGCACTTCATTGCACTTATTCGTACTCCCTCCACCCGACTATCCCAGCCCCCGCCAACCGCCCTAATTACCAATGCTTCTCTGCTCAAACATATTTGCTTCTCTTCAATCCTAAGGAGATGAAATTTCAAAAACCCCTCCACAGTGCTGTCCTAAAGTACTCAGGGAATAGTATCCGCTCCTTAAAACTCTAGGTCCACTGGTTTATGTCAAGTGAGGACCATTTTCACCCCCTTATGGATCAAATTTGAAAAGAATATCTTTTTATTACATCAATATAGTACCCACTAAGAATATTTCCTCCAAATTTCCATTTTCCGTCTAAACTTACCCCATCCCTTTTCATCCTTTCAGGAATAAAGTTTAAAGCAATCTCTCCTCCTAAACTAGCTACCTAGTCAACGAATAGGTACAGTCGATTTATATGAATGAAAATTCAACAAAAATATTTTTAATAGTTCAAGAAGCTGAATTATTTATTTCATTTTCTTTTTCCGTAGAGATATTTATATAATGACGAGTGCTTTGTGAGTGGCGGTCCGATATTCATATATCTCGGAGGTGAATGGACCATAACAACGGGAAGACTTATGACCGGGCCAATATACGACATGGCATGTGAAAATGGTGGATACATGTTCTATACTGAACACAGATATTATGGAGAAAGTCAGCCGACCAGGTACGTTGCCTAGTTGCTTATAAAAATTAAATACACTGTAACGCCTCTGATTGTTGAGGCACTTAATTTATGAAATTCTAAATCCCTAATGAAATTAAAAAAGAAAAGGGTCATTTGTAACTATTTTGTGATTATATTGTAATGTTCGTGGGTTTAACAAAATTAACTCTAAGAATGATAAAGACAAAAACTACTTATTTACACTAATTATTAAAGAACTTAAAAACACTATTCACTGCGCTATGTATTTCACTGCTATTACTGCTATTTATTTCTGGATTAACTTCTGCAACGGTCAATTTATTTCTCCTCTACTCGGCGATCGTCCCCTTCTTTAAATACTCTTTGTTTACTTTCGGGAACCTTCTGGAAAACGTCCGGACAGTTTATTTTTTTTTTGAACTGTTTAACTGCTTTCCCAGAACGCAGGTACGACACACACATTCATAAATACAGCGCACATGAAGAAAGGCGCCCGCGGCTAGTCGGCGAATCTATAAGCCGTTCACGCACACGTGTGCCCGATCGCACACGAACACACTCGTGCTCTCTGCAATATAAATGGATCCTCGCACATCAGTAATGCAAATGAGAACTCAAGGTCTTGAGTAAGATAAGTTTCTCAAATTGTTCATTTTGATCTTGACCTCTTGTTTTCGATATTTTCTTAGATATCAATATAAGAACAATATAGTTTTGATTGTTTATTTAAAAAATTAAAAGCCGCAACATTGGCGTTAGTTTAACAAATAAAGGATTTTCTGCCTTTGATTCTACACTACCATACACTTACGTATTAAACATCGGTGCTCTTGATTTTTGAAACAAGGTATGATATTTGAAAATTTGAAATTGTTCTCCTGTATTCTTTGTTGACTTGCTCTCAGATTAATCTCTAAACGTTAGACTTTCTAATAAACAAGAGCACATCCACAAATTACAAATTCGGTTGTAGCTCCTGTATCTATACATAGAGACTGTCAATTAGTAGAATTTAACATAAAATAATTCTTCAATGTATAAATAATACCTACAATTTGTATCAATGATAAAACGTTTAGAGTGCACCTACCTTAAGTAACACTAATCGTAAGAATAACATTGACAGGACCAAAAAAATGAATAGAGTGATAAGTAAATGACACAAGGTTTACTTAATTGAAATTCCGTTTACAGTGATTGGAGTTCTGAAAATCTAAAGTACCTTTCGGCCGATCAAGCTCTAGCTGACATTGCTTACTTTATCAAATACCAAAAAGAAAACATTCCAGCCTTACAAAATAGTTCGGTGAGTAACACTAATTAGAATTCTACGTCAACATTTTCATAATATCTTATTTAGCTTCGTTAAATTTCTTTTAAAGCTAGTGTAGCAAAAATGTTAATTAAGCCACAATAACTTACTAGCTACTACTTTAAAATGCAATTTTATTAATTTATGGTTACTTTAGGTAGTAGCAATTGGAGGCTCTTATTCTGCAACTCTTGCGACATGGGTTCGTATTAAATATCCCCATTTCGTTGACATTGCGTATGCCTCCAGTGCTCCACTTAATGCTAAAGAAGATTTCTTTGGTAAGTTCAATTATTTGATAATATATGTAGAAATAATTCGTTGATAAGAATGCCGCATTCATAAATTAACAAGTTTCTGCACTTCTTGCTGCAATGAGTTGACTAAATATGATATGATAAGCATTCCAAACTGTGCCTAACGTTGACGATTCGTTTTACGTCAATACGAATTGTGCAAGCATGTTATTTGACGAGATGAGAGAGAGAGAGAGAGTAGAAAGGAAAGGAGACATTGATGAGAATGTCATTCATACATAAAGCACTAAGTTTCTTATTGCACTTCTTGGTGCAGTGAATTTGATCGCTTGTTGTTGCGAACAGGACTGAACTGATCTAAAACCAAGTACATTTGGATGAATCATCCTACAACCTACTAATATTTACTCCAGAATGCAGCAGACTAATCTCTCCCAGTGTTTTGAGAGGAAACTATAGCAAACGGTTGATTGTGATTGGAGTCAGGTTGGAGATAACGTGGCAAAGTGGCTAAATATGATAGCATTTCAAACTGTGCCTAACGTTGACGATTCGTTTTACGCCCATACAAATTGTGCAGGGCGTGTTATTTGACGAGAAAACGTGAGAATGCAGTAAGGAGAGGAGTTGTTGATGAGAATGCCGCATTCATAAATAAAGCACTAAGTTTCTTATTGCACTTCTTGCTGCAGTGAGTTGACTAAATATGATATGATAAGCATTCCAAACTGTGCCTGACGTTGACGAATCGTTTTGCGTTGATACGAATTGTGCATGCATGTTATTTGACGAGAAGAGGCGAGAAAGCAGAAAGGAAAGGAGTCGCTGATGAGAATGCAATTCATAAATAACGTATTGCACTTCTTGGTGCAGTGGAATCGATCGCTTGTTGTTGCAAATTGAACTGATCTGATCAAAAATGCATACTCCAAAATACAGCAGACTAATCTCAGTGTTTTGAGAGGAAACTATAGCAAACGGTTCACTGTGGTTGGAGTCAGTGTTTGAGAGGAAACTATAACAAACTGTTGATTGTGATTGGAGTCAGGTTGAAGATACGTGGCAAGGTGGCTATCTATTGTGTGGAGTGTATTCCACACGGGTTTCGTGAATCGCTTGAATAAATAAAATAAAACTGAACATAAAAGTGATTGTTTCTTTTTCAAAGTTAATAGACGTTTAGAAAAAAATGTTTAGAGTTACAACGTTTATTTTTGCGTTACTTTTAACAACTCGGTAACCTAACGTAAAGGCGATAACTACTCGCATATGAACGTGGCACTTAAGAAAACAACAATTCTATTTAAAGCCGAAAAGATATTTGTTATTACAATAGTTCTAAACTTTGATACCAAATTAGCACGTAAGAGAGCATCTAGTTTTGGTACGCTACAAATTTAATTTTTGTGTTGCTTATCACGGAGTCCTCTCGAGAAAGTACTCATATGATATTGAACTGAGTAGTTTTATCAAAAAAGTAAAATGTTTTCTATGTACTTCTCTTGTGACATTTTCTTTTGCTACCAATTTGGGCTAATGGATAAACCAAGAACATAATCATAGATTTTGTTAGTACATGTAACATCCAGCTACTTTGTAGGTATATATCACAGGTCAATTGAAAAGTCCCCGGCCTAAAATAGTAAAACACATTTTTTTTTGCAAAATTCGTTTTTTTTATTCAACATCGTGTTCATCGTGTGCAGTCCACTCCGATGACTATCGATTGGATGGAGCCATGTTTCATCCATTGTCACATATCGACGCAAAAACTCGGGTTTATTACGCGTGATCATCTTCAAACACTGCTCTGAATCATCAACTCGTCGTTGTTTTTGGTCAAAAGTGAGCTCGCGCGGCACCCACTTTGCACAGAGCTTTCTCATACCCAAATATTCGTGAATGATGTGATGTATACGTTCCGTTGATATCTGTAGAGTGTCTGCTATTTCATTCAATTTCAATTTACGGTCATTCAAAATCATTTTGTGGATTTTTTTAATGTTTTCGTCCGTAACAGCCTCTTTTGGGCGTCCACTGCGTTCACCGTCTTCGGTGCTCATTTCACCACGTCTAAACTTAGCATACCAATCCTTGATGGTTGATTTTCCTGGGGCAGTGTCCGGAAATTCGTTATCAAGCCAAGTTTTTGCTTCAACTGTATTTTTTCCCTTCAAAAAGCAATATTTTATCAACACGCGAAATTCCTTTTTATCCATTTTTTTCACAATAACAAAAGTTGCTTCACTAAAAATGCTATAATTCACAAACTAATGATCCGACAGCCGTTAAACTTATAGACGCGTCTTTTGAAGGTTAAGACTAACTGAAAATCATATGGATTTAGTTGTGGTGCCGCCATCTATGTGTCAGGCCGGGGACTTTTCAATTGACCCTATACACTCGCCTTCTTTAAAATACTGTTAAATTAAAATATGATTCGTAAAGTTAAAAAAACAATAATCTTAATGAAGGTTAGTTTAATTTTGTTTCTAACTAAAATTTTAAATGAAAATATTTATAAATAATGGATCATCCCGTTTTAGAATACTACGAAGTCGTCAATGACAATCTGGCTCTTGCATCATCAACGTGTCCTACAGTTATTAGATCAGCAATTTCCGAAATTGAGACCATGCTCGAATCCCAAGAAGGTATTGCCACAATTTCTGCATTGTTTGGGTATGTAGCTGCATTACTTCATGTCTTTTGTGTATTTACTAGTCGACTTTGCATCTCTAATGGTCTAATCTAAATATTTGCACTCGACGATTATAACTTAATTATTTACCATTCAAATAAAATGTTTCTATATTCAAAACTTAATCTTGTGGCGAATACAAAAAATATAAAACGTACAATTTTGTATATATATTTTTTTGTATATTAATTTTTCATATTTTTGTACCTGTGTAAATATTGTAAACCTTTCGCTTCTT